CACTGTAACTCCATTGACGAGGCATAAAGGTCATGGCTTGAAATGAAGACGCTCGGCAGAAGGATCCCAGAGTGGCTCCCGGAGGAAATACTTCGAATGGGATGCAGATGCAGGGGCTGGAGAGCAAAGCAGAATTAACATTGTATTATTATCATGTCACTAATTTTTCTAGCTATGGAACCGAGGAATTCCTGCGCTGGATCAGATCAACGGGCCCATCTACCCCGGCATCCCGTCTCCAAGAGCGGCCAGCACCAGCTACTCCAGAGACGGGGCAAAAGCCCTACACGGATGGTCTGACCTGCCCCCAGGGGATGAGTCCCCACGCCCCAGCCATATCAGATTGGGGCTGAGAGTTTACATCCCCAATCAATTGATGTTTGATCCTATCTAGTGTCACTCTGGATTGTCGCACTGTCCTTAGAAATCTCCCACCCTTTGGGGGTCCCGCTGAGCTCTTGGCCCCAGTGAGGTCTTGTGGTCATGAGTTCCACAGTCTAACTATAGGAGAGACAGTGTTCCCTAGTGGCTAGAGCACTGGACTGGGACTCAGGAAACCTGGCTTCTATACCTGGCTCTGCTGGGTGACATTAGCCAGTCAGACCCCGCTCTGTGCCTCAGTTTCCCCCCGTATGAGGGGAATAATGATCCTTGTACAATGCGTTGTGAGCTGCTGATGAGACGAGCTAGCCAGTATTGTTTTCAAGTCCCCTCTTATTCGCCTCCTATTATTAATTGTTCTCTCCCTCGCTGGGGTGCCGACAGGCTGCAGTCCTGGCTCCGGGCTGTGCAGTGGGACAGACAGATGGGAGAGCACAAGGATGCAGTGAGGCTTTGCGTTGGGGGCAGCCCACTGGCCAGGCGCCCACTGGCCCAGCCCCGACAAAGGTCTAACAAGCTCCTGTGGCTGGAAGTTGAAGCTGGACAAATTCTGACTGGAAATAAGTTGCGAATTTCTGCCCCAGTGGAACTAAGACCGGGACAAGATGCCCAGGCAGCGGTGGGTTCTCCGTCCCCGGCAATGCATAGCTCTGAGATGGGGGAGGGGTTGTCAGGGTGTGTCTACATGGCAAACCCCCCCTCCCCCCAGCAGTGAGTCTCAGACCCCGAGTGGGGTCTACAGACTGGGGCTCATGTGACGGCACTAAAAATAGCCGTGTAGCCATGGGGCTGGGGCTGGAGCTCGGGTTCGGCACCCACCCCAGGTCCAGTGCCGGAGCCCATTTCCCCCCACACACACAGCGGGGTGTGCACCCCCTCGAGCGCCCCCATATCCCCTAGTGGTCAACTCGTTCTATGCAGAGTTGCCACTTTAGTCATTTTCCAACTAGATCCGTTTTTCCCCCAAATGTTCTAGTTTGAAAACAGTTCCGTTTAGGCTGGTTGGAAATTTGAATTGAAACGGAAACCCGAACAGTCCCGTTCAAAGCACATGGGCGTCCCTGAAAACACACACCAGGTTTGAAAGGAGGAATGACGACTCGTCTCCTCACATCGCTGTGTTTGTGCTGGCAATGCCAGCAGCCGGCGCCCGGCGCGTTCCTTTCGGCCACATTGGCTGATCTGATCAGGTCACATTCTGCTTTATAAACAACAATAAATCATCCTCAGCCCCAAGGCTGCTGTTTATTGGTGTCTTATCCTGTCTAGAACATGGGGCCGAGACTTAGCGCCGAATGGCCTTCCTGGTGAAACCGTACGATGCACCTTCGCCCCCACGGCCTTGCCCTTCACGCCCTGGAAATTCCAACACCCTCTCCCCTCCGCGTTCAATTCCTGGGGGAAACACTGGCATTGCCGACCACGTCTGCAGACCCTGGCTCTGCACAGCCCTGGGTTTTGTTTTGCTGTGTGGACAACCCAAAGAGATCAGCTCTGGTTCAGCCAGGGATGAATCCGGAGCAGGGCCCTGGCCTGTGTAGACAGGAGTGAATCCGGAGCAGGGGCTATCTGGGGTGAATCTGGAGCAGGGCTCTGGCCTGTGCTGTACAGGGGTGAATCCGGAGCAGGGCTTTGGCCTGTCTAGACAGGAGTCAGACCAGATGCTCACCATGGTCCCTCCTGGCCTCGGACCCTCCCACGTGTCCCCAGCCCGGCCTCCCGGCCGCCCATCTGCGCTCCCCGGCCCTCTGCTGCGGAAGTCTCCCCGGTAACAGGTGACAAGCGGTGGCGGGGCCCAGCCATTGGCCAGGAGGCGGCGGGGCGCGCGCGGATTGGC